CAAAAATAATCGGTGACTAGTCGACTATCAAAATAATCGTTTGTCGCAGCCCTACAGGCTGTAGTTACAGAGTGTCTGAAGATACTATTTAAAATTCATTATTTGCTAAGTTTCTTGTTATATAAAGACACAGCCCTGGTTCATCCTTTGATGAACCTTAGGTGCCTTTCTTATGCTTGACTGATTCATAGATCAGTGTTCAGTGGCGTAACAGTAATAAGGAGTTGCTCAAGATGTTTACACTGTACTGTATCTTGCTTCTACAAATCAGTGCTGCTGCTGATTTAACCAACAGATTTATATACAGTTCTTACTGAAAGCTTTTTATAAGACTATCAGCATTAACTCTCCCATTTCTGTCCATCCTTCACCTGAGGATTAATGAGCAGATAGCTGGCGCTGCAGTCGTAGGCCTCCTTATACTTCCCAAGCCCCTTCAAACAAAGGGCCTTCTTGTACAGCGCTCTGCGGCTGTCTTTGCACACCTCCAGAGCGCTGTTGCAGTCCAGCACACCTTGTTCATACTCCCCCTGTGGAAAACATGAGAGAAACACACAAAAGAAATCAAAGTAATATACCATCAATTCTTTACTTCATTTTCCCATCTAGCTTTAAGTAAGACTCTACAAGGTGAAGAAATCGCAGTCTCTTGGTTTAAACTGTGTGTAGCTGCTATGGAGCACTTCACTGGTATGCAGGTCAAAGGCTCTGTGGCCTTGAATGCAGACAAACACATCTGAATGATTTAGTGATGTTTACATATTAGAGGCAGTAAATCGGAACAGATCTGTTTTTATAAGTGGTTTCATAAATCAAGTGTGAGGGGTGGGAGGTTCAGGATTGCCTCAAGTTATGCGCTACAGGAAGAATAGCCGCTACATTGGATTTCTACCTTTTCTTCTTAATACCGCTGTAGGCTTTGTTAAAGATTAAATTAGATGTTCCACGCTCCAGTGTTGCTCAAGCATTTGATTCTTGCATTTGATTTTCCAAAAACAGGGATAATGTCCACAAAAGTAGACATCAACTAAACCATCTATTATTAGCCTTTGTAATCACACAAGCATAGATTTGGCAATATCTGTGCTGACTGCTGGTAAACACTGCTGGGCTTGGCTGGATATTCGTGGACACATGCATGTCACAGACCTCTGGGCCGCTACAGTAGGATATTCAAGCAGGACAGCCTGAAACCGCCTGGGCATGAATTTTATTGTGTGTTTGGACCATTTGAAGAAGAAAAAAAAACATGCACAGCTGGTGACCTTGCAGTGTTGTGCACTGCTTTGAGTTAGAAGACACATGGACATCCACACCAAGCCACGTATGCACCCTCTGATAACCAAATTTCCATAACTTTTATAACACTTCAGCAGGAATTTACAACCATGCAAGCAGCTCTGTGGAACTGCTGTTGGAGACCTCTGTTGTACCCTTAATGACGAATTTTGATACCTGAAAAAATATCAACAAAATGTGGTTTGATGATCCCAACCCTAACCCGGTTAACACATTCACCTAATGTGTGAAAGACTTCCAGTTAAAGACCAGGAGGCGGCATAAACCCAACAAAAGTGACATAAGTGAGTCTGGAGCACAGTGGAGGAAGAGCCATGGAGTTCATGTTTAAGAATGTTTACAATTGGTTTTTGTTAAAGTAGAAAATATAGATGTTATCAACTAACCACTGGGGTTTTAATAGATATTAAAAGCTCAGGTTCAATCAACAATCATTTCAGGTTGATCCACTTTTATGTGGCTCATGCACATTTGGGTGTGGAGGAGAATTCCTCACAAGCGTTTGTTTCAAAATGTCTGAGCCATGGAAAAGATAAAAAACCTCATTCCCTTACATAGTGAGGTAGAGAAGCCTTATATGTATTACACATGCTGCTATACTAGAACTTCATCGTGAGATCTCACAGCATGAGACGTTAACCTGCCCCACTTCATTCCTATACGCAGAACGCTGCACAGACACAAGATCAAACGTTATCTCACCAAACTGTGGTAGACAGCCGCCCGGTTGACATACAGGCTCTCGAGCAAAGCTTCGGGGATCTTGATCTCCTCCGTTTCAGCGTAGCATGACACATTCAAGCCTTCGCTGAATTCTTTGACAGCCTGCTCGCACTGGCCGTCTCTGAAGAAGGCGTTGCCCTCATCGAGCAGGTTGCACACTAACTGGGTCAGGAAGTCCTGTGAGGAGCAAAAGAAAAGAAAGGAATAAGAAGCTTTTATTTTTATTTTTTTTTAAACCTATGCGAACCTGCGCTAACGTCTTGCAAGTTACATTATGCTTTTAAGGTCCACCTTAATATTGACATGCACGTATTTGCATTAAGGGGGCTAGTATAGTATTTTAATACTATTCTAAGCAGGACTTTAAAGTGCATTAGAAAAAAATGTTGAATGTCTTTACAAATCATTTGGTTTATGTTAAATCATATATAACTTATTATCACTCTTTCTCATATGTAGACACATTTCTCCAAAATACATTTTGCTGGTAGCTGTCATTAAAAACCAGCCAAAAAAACTCAAAGTGGCAGTTGGGTTAAGGTCAAGACACCATTTCTGCACTTTTGCTTCTTTAAACTACCTCGGGGGATTTTAGAATCAAAGGGGTTAGAGAAAGCTGTTGCACTCATTGTTTGGGAATTACAGCCATTCCTATACACAGTCCAGGACCTAACTGGAAATTCAATGAGATTCCTACTCTGGTGACACTGCAAGTTCATCTGTGAGTGTGTTAATAAAATAGAAGATTATCAGCTCACACTGCTAAAACTCCAGTAGGCTTGCTTTCACCTTTGATTATTAAATGTGGTTGCTGGATTTGTTGTACAGCAGCAACACAAAGAACAGAGTCGACTTTAACTTTGGATTGGAAGATTTGTCGTGTTCAGAAAGCTTAAGTCTGCATCACTTTTCATAGAGTTATGGAGTCACTGTGCAAAAAATGGCCCATCGGGAATCAATCCGGGTGCTGCTAATCAAATGTAGCTGATTAACTGATTTTCAGCAAGTGTGAGCAAATCTATAAAAGCAGACGTTTTGTCAGTTTGCTGGTCTGGATCATTGGACTTCAAAATGCTTTTCCAAACATTTTGAAGTCCATCACTTTGCAGTGAGAAAGATCATTCACAAGCGAGAAAGCTTTAAGACAAATAGTAATCTTCTCAGGAGTGGAAGTCCCGACAACTTCAACCCAAGGTCAGATTGTGCTCAGAGAAAATACAAAAACCCCAAGAGTTGCAACGCAGACTCTACAGGCCTCGGTTCGCACCTTAAATGTTAAAGTTCATGACAGTACAATTAGAAAAAGGTTGAACAACTATGGTTCAGAAGGATCAGAATCACTGAAGCAAAGTTGTAAAGAAGAGTGGGCCAAAATTCCTCCATAACTGATGAAGTCATACAGAAACCCAGAGCTCCAAGTCATCGCTGCTACTACAAGATAGTGAATCATGCTGTGCACTTAGGACTGCACATAACCAAGATTAACTACCAATGGTTCATCGCATACTGCTGCATGTTTTATAGAAAATTTCTCTGTTTTCTGAGTGCAGAATTATTATATGAAGAGGACTGGGTTCAACTGAAACCCACAACTAGAAACAGGATGTTACACAGCAGACGGATCAACACAACCTACAAGACAGCTGCAGAACTCCACAACTTTGCCTTTAGATTTCTGACACTTGCATGAGATGTAACAGAGACAAAGGTGCACTGTTTAATGGTATTCAAGCAGGAACCCC